CGATCGAATGGCTCAGAAAAACAAACCGAGAGACAGGTGGGGAGCGAAGGGATGCCCCATGTAGGCCATGCCGACTCCGTCACGAACTACGAGCACGGGTCCTGGTCGGACATTTCCAATTGAAACTCTCCAAACCCCGTCACTTGAGTCATCAAGGTAACACTACCGACCCCCTCTATTTCTTTATAAATCATTTCACACATCCATACGTCCATTCATTCCATACGCCCGTGCCCCCCGGATGATTCGGGCCCTGAACCGCCCGGGGGCTCGGGAGCTAAGCATCGCACATGCAGCGAAATGCATCATAACGCTCCGTGTTGCGTCATAAAGCGGCAGTTGCCTCATTCGATATGAGCAACGACCGACCAGGGTTCGAAGTCCGGCACGCAAAGGGCTCGAGGCCGCCCCACGTCAAACAGAGTTAGGGGAGAAAAACATAGATGAGTCCTGTGCGGCCCTCGCCTAGTCTGGCAGACAGGGTCATCTCAACCTTCTCGTTCGATCCTAAGCCTCTGCCAAGCCCACAGAATCTCCATCGAGGGGAGGCCATTAGGCCACCCGGGTCGGTCTCCGGAACGACCTAGGCATCTGTCGGGTTACAGGTAAAGGAGCAGTGGATTCCACTCGATCCTACCCATTAGCGAACTCACCGAGCGCGTCACTCGAACCTAAGCGATCGGGACAAGCGACAAAACTCAGCCTCTCCAGTTGTGAGAAACTGAGGATGGGGTAACGCACACAACTCAAACCGACCCCTACTAAAGCCCAACGGGGCTCAGGAGCTCAAGACACAAAACGCCTGGGTCTACGACCCCGAACTCGCCCCATCCGGCTACGCTTCGACTGCACTCCAAAACTACCTGGGTCTGCGACCCCGAACTCGCCCCATCCAGCTACGCTTCGACTGCACTCCAAAACTACCTGGGTCTGCGACCCTGAACACGCCCCATCCAGCTACGCTTCGACTGCACACAAAAAACACCAAGGTCTGCGACCCCGAACTCGCCCCATCAGGATCCACGACTCTGACTCGCCCAAACCCATAGCGCGCACCGACGCCAGGATCAACGAGCTCCATCACAACCGATCTCTAAACAAACTAACTAACTACCTCAGCTGCACAGACTGCACCGACGCCAGGATCTACGACTCTGACTCGTCCGATCCCACAACATGCACCGACGCCAGGATCCACGAGCTCCACCTCGCTCGATCCCAAAACTAACCGCCTTGGCCGCACAACGACGCCTTGGTTGACAACTCCGTCTCGACTGAAACACACACACACACGCCCGCTAATAAACAACCCCCAGACGATTCTGCCCGAATCGCCCAGGGGCTCGGGGCTACACCCACGGGTGCGCAAGCGCACCCGCTGACAAAACAAAAACCTCCCCCACTTGCAAAAACGAAAAAACCCTCAGGCGATTCTGCCCAAATCGTCCGGGGGCTCGGGGGCTACACCCACAGGTGCGCTCGCGCGCACCCACCGTCGAGGCAAAAATCCCCAGACGATTCTTCTCGAATCGCCCGAGGGCTCGGGGGCTCTTGTCGGGTTCATAAACCCGGGGTCCCTCACGGACTGGCTTCCCAACAAAGGCTCGGCCCAAGGAGACAAACACGCAACTCATGGGCCGGCCTAAGTATCTGAACGATATGCCAAAAGGGCAATCCAATCACCGACCGGAAGCTCTGGCCAATGAGGAACGGCACCCGCCTTCTTCCCACCTCTCCGACCGGAGCGCTAGCTTCGGTCTCCATCACGCCTCCAGACGGTCTCTCCGATCGAAAGGCCTAGCAAAGCACTACCTCCAACTCCGACCCCATGTCTCCGACCGGGGTATGCAAAGGTCCTGCTCACTGCTCTTTCTCCGACTGGAGCAACCAGAGCCGACTGGGACCGACTGACCAGGGACGCCCGCTTGGAAAAGACCAGGGAACGGATGGAGAAGGCAAGGCAAGGCGCACAAGTCAAATCGCAATACTAGGGATTGTACCCTATTCACCTATAGAAAATAGTATTCTGCAACCTTCCTGACACAAATAGTGTTGTAGGCGTCGACATTTTTCTCTACAGTATTGTGGGTGCCATTAACTCCCATACGGTAAGCCCCCCCACATGCCTCTAGGCATCGATAGTGTTGTGGGCACCGGCATTTACCGTACCGAGTGAACATGGTGAAACTCCTCACATGCCTTTAGGCATCAACAGTATAGCAGGTACCGACATCTGCCATACCCGAACAAAATGACGAAGCCTCTCACATGCATCCGACATCCAACAGTGTTAAGGGCGCCTACCATCATCCCATACCCGTCGGCGTGGGCAACAAGACTTAGAAGCATACGTACTATCTCACTCTCACTTGTAAGGCCAACAACTTCACCTATAAAGAGGATGTGCTCTCTCCCAACATTCAGGTTAAGCTAGTTCAGAAAGGTTAATCCAGATTCATTAGATCGACCAAGTTCACCAGTTCACAACCACAGAACCGCCAGGTTTGAACCTCAAGCACACGCTTGAACACTTAGCTTAAAGCGGAGCTCCTGCCGCTCTTGGCCCTTCCGACCGGAGCCTGGCCGGACCTCTTGTACCCCCCATCTTTCTCCTTTTTGTTTGTAACCCCACTGCAAACTTCGAGCACCTGGGCTCTGGAATAAAGTCACCGACCGACTCAAACTGGACGTAGGGCACGTTGTCTGAACCAGTATAAACCATGTGTCATTGAGTGCTAGGCCACCTCCGATCACAACGTACGGCAAAACTACAAATATTTACTTGTTGGTCACTTTCTGCACCGACAATATTGCTAGTTGATGTTGACATAGGGGTTCTCCTCCCAATATATATTTACCAATCGTCCTCGGAAAAGAAATCAAAAGCTAATTTTCGGGAGTTCCTAGTATGGAAAATTTAGCCTGTTCGCTTGTTGGTTTTAGCCAGGGCTTATCAGCCATGATACAGTGTTTTTCTCTCACAACAAATCAGCACCAGCCGGGCTTATCAGTCCAGAAACCAACCAGCGAACAGACTGATTCTAAGATAGTCAATTAGTATTTTCCTATTGTCTCTGTTGTCTATCTCAGCGTTTGTGCACCGGAGTTCAAGAGAGCACCCTCGTCCTTGTGATCCTGTACCGGGAGAGGACGAATGAGGTTTTTTGAAAACGTTCTTTTCGCGCATTTGCTCCCAACTTCCACGACGTCTTTCGAAGGCTACGTCAGGACATCATCTCCGCAACCAGAAGGCGCGTCGCATCTTCACCGGGAACGTTCCTCGACCACTCGTCGATGACTTCGTACCACCATCAACAACTTCAATCGTGGTACTATGTAGTACAAAATAGCCACTGAAACCTCCAATCGTAGATGAGGACAAGAGTTTTTTGTTTAAATCTGAAAAGTTGTACCACCATCGACAACTTCAATCGTGATACTATGTAGTACAAAAATAGCCACTGAAACCTCCAATCATAGGTGAGGACAAGGGTTTTCTGTTTAAATCTGAAAAGCTAGCACGTTCGGATGGTCAGGGTTGCCTATTTGGCGCTCATGATATGCACTGGCACGTTCGGATGGTTATGTTTGTCTATTCATTACTCATGATATGCATTAGTATGTTCGGATGGTCAGGATTGCCTATTCATAAGTATAGTAACTAGAACCACTGTACTCATGATGCCTATTCACAAAATAGTAACTAGAACCATAATACTCATGATATGCACTAGCACGTTCGGATGGTCAGGGGTGTGTATTCACAAGTAGTAACTAGAATCATGTTATTCATGATATGTACTAGCATGTTCGAATGGTCAAGGTTGCATATTCACAATTATATGGCCCCGTTCGCTTCGCTGAAAAAACAAGCCGAAATATTGTTCCAGCTGATTTGTTGGGAGAGAAAAACACTGTTTAAAAAAAAAGTTAAAAAGTATAAATGATAAGACAAGCAAGAGGAACTAGAACCAATGTACTCGTGATGTCTATTCACAAGTAACAACAAGAACTAGAACTATAGTACTCGTGATGTGAAGATGGTTCAGGTTGCCTATTCACAGGTAGTACCTATAATCATGTTACTAGATTGCCTATTCACGAATAGACTGCACAACCAAATGTAACAACTAACCGTCAAAAGTTTTGCATGAACACGCACGAGGTCCACGATTTAAGTTCGCGGGAAATCAAACCAGATAAGATAAATCCATCCCCCATCCCAGGCGGGAGCGGAAACGTAGGGAAGCAAAGCAAAGCAAGCAAGCGCAAAGAAAACGCGAGGTTAAAAACAAAACAAAAGGCAAGAAGCTTGTTCGCTTATCAGCGGACAGTATTTTTCTCTTACGAGAGATCAGTACCGGACTTTATCAGCCCACAGGTGAACAGACCGAAGGACGTGAGGGGAGAGGATGGATGGGGAAAGAAAGAAAGAGAGAGGAGGGCGCACACTTTTTAACCTTTTTTATGTTGCACGCATCCAGGGACCATGGCAGTGGTAGAGAGAGAAAGGGAAGGCGAGTGGAGGCCAACTCCAAGCGGCCACCACCCGACGAAACAAGCGAGGCAGAGCGCAGAGCAGGAGCAGGGCTGCCGCCGCAGCCGCTGAGACATTTCTCTGGGCTCGAGAAGAGAGGGTAGAGTAGTAGAGTGCCATCGTTCCCCATCCCCATCCCAGCGAACGGCCGCTGCCCGCCCGCTCCTCCTCCTCGGCTAACTGCTGCGCGCTGCTCCATACTCCGTCCTCTTGCCCACGGGATCAGCAATCGTGGGGGGACCGGCCACGAGCACTTCACGGCGGGGCGACCGCGCCGGCGGCCGGAGCGCATAGGCTGCCTCGAGCACGCCGGCGGCAACAGGCAGGTGCAGGCACACCGCTCCTCGCTGTTCCACCCCACGCGCACAAGCAAGCGCCGCATCGACACCACCACCGGCGGTTGCCTGGCGCCCCCAGATCTCGCCGGCAGGGGTCGCGCGCCCTAGCATGCGCGAGTAGTTACATGAGGGCGGCGCCCTTCAGTGCCGACGGGAGCGGGGCGGGGACCATAGAGGCGCTGCTTTGGCCGGACGGGAAGGGCGGCGGCGGACGGGACCTGCTGGTGGAGCCGACGTCGGTGCTCGACTGCAGACGGAGCCCGAGCCCGCCGTACTCGACATCGACGCTGTCTTCGTCCCTGGGCGGCGCCGCGAGGGACTCCTCTTCCGGCGTGGCAGCGGATTCGGAGAACAGCGCCGCCGCCGCCGAAGCCACCAAATGGGCGGCGCCAGGCGAGCACGGCGGCGGCGGCGGCGGTGGAGGCGGGAGGAAGGAGGAGTGGTCCGGTGGTGAGCTGCCACCCATACCGGGGACCCTGGACGTCGGGTTCGTCGGGGAGGAGGGCTGGGACGCCATGCTCAGCGACGCCGCGGCGGTGGCCGACCAGGACCAGACATTCCTCAACTGGATCATGACCGCGACGGGCGACATGGAGCCGCCGGCGCCGGCGCTCCTCGGCAATGCCGCCGGCTTTGGGTTCCCGACCTCGGACCCGCTCGGGTTCTCCCTGCAGCATCACCCAAGCGGCGGCGCCTCGGCCGGGGCGCTGGCCTCCGACTTGTCGTCCCCCGGCGCGAGGTCGCTCACCAGCGGCAGTGGCAGCAAGGCCACTTCCACTTTCGGCCTCCTACCATCCGAGGCGGTGCTTCAGCCGCCGCCGCCGCCGGCCACGACCATGGCTTTCCACGACGGTGGCGACATAAAGCCCCTGCTTCTTGGAGTCCCGTCGGCAAGTCTACTCAATCAACAACAGACGCTGCGCGCGGCCTCCTTCTTCATGCCGCTCCCCACCTTTCCCGACCATCAGCACCAGCCACATCTCCCGCCCCCGCCGAAGCGCCACCACTCTATGCCCGACAACCTGTTCCTCCTCCAAAACCAGCTCCACCCGCCGCCGCCGCAGGGTCTACCATTCCCACCACTGCATACCACCGGGCCCTTCCAGCTCCAGCCATCGCTGCAACCGCCGCGGGGAGCGATGAAAACAACCCCGGCGCCGCAGCAACATCAACAGCTTCTGGACGAGCTTGCTGCCGCGGCAAAGGCGGCTGAGGTCGGCAACTCCATCGGCGCGCGAGAGATATTGGCGCGGCTCAATCAGCAGCTTCCCTCAATCGGGAAGCCTTTCCTCCGCTCCGCTTCCTACCTCAAGGAGGCCCTTCTCCTCGCGCTCACCGACGGCCACCAAGGCTCCACTCGCCTAACCTCCCCGCTCGACGTCGCCCTCAAGCTCGGTGCATACAAGTCCTTCTCCGACCTCTCGCCTGTGCTCCAGTTCGCCAATTTCACGGCCACTCAGGCGCTTCTCGACGAGATCGCCTCAACAACTTCATCTTGTATCCGCATCATTGATTTCGACCTTGGTGTTGGTGGCCAGTGGGCTTCCTTCTTGCAGGAGCTTGCACACCGCCGTGGAACTGGGAACAGCCCCCTGCCGATGTTGAAGCTCACAGCCTTCGTCTCAAGTGCTTCCCACCACCCACTTGAGCTGCATCTTACTCGGGAGAACCTCTCACAATTTGCTGTGGACCTTGGCATTCCATTTGAGTTCACTGCCATCAATCTCGATGCATTTGATCCAGCAGAACTCATTCCTCCTACTGCCGATGAGGTTGTCGCTGTTTGCCTCCCTGTTGGTTGCTCTGCACGCACGCCACCACTTCCGATGCTGCTTCAGTTGGTGAAACAGCTTGCTCCTAAGATTGTCGTGGCTATTGACCATGGTAGTGACCGGGGTGACCTCCCATTTTCACAGCACTTCATGAATTGCTTCCAGTCTTGTATGTTCCTTCTCGACTCACTTGACGCTGCTGGTACTAATGCGGATGCTGCCAGTAAGATTGAGAGGTTTCTGATCCAACCGAGAGTAGAGGATGCAGTACTTGGCCGGCGTAAAGCTGAAAAGGCAATGGCTTGGCGGGCAGTGTTTACATCGGCCGGGTTTGCTCCAGTGCCGCTCAGCAACCTTGCAGAAGCACAAGCTGACTGCCTCTTGAAGCGGGTGCAGGTCCGAGGATTCCACGTGGAGAAGTGTGGAATGGGTCTAGCACTCTACTGGCAGCGCGGCGAGCTCGTGTCTGTCTCGGCATGGCGGTGCTGATCTTACCTTCCTCATCCATTAACCATCGTCACACCTACACCATTTGCAGGCATGTTTTAACTCTGGTAATATGTATTTTGTCTTGCAATTATAAACATTGCAAAGGAACTATTGTCTTGGTTGTTCCACACCTTTGATTGCTTTACTTATGTTGGAGTATTAGCTAGGCCTAATGAATTTAGCAATCTTCGTGTGGGTGTCTCTACAATGTAACATGTTGGTCTTGGGTCTCACAACGCTGTTCTTGCTCTCTTGGTTAGCCAGAGGATAATTTGGCATATTTGTGGCAATGATGTTGGTCATTTTACTAGGTAAATCTGATGAAAACTGACATATGAACTGAATGGTTGGGCACATTAACTTTCTTTGCCTGATAATCCAAGATTGATGTATAGATTTCTAAAGCGTGGATCACGGATCATGCTGTTGTTGCATTACAAACTACATCTTGCGAGTGGTGTTGTGATAGCAAAGAGTGGTAGAATTAATGCTCTGAAAATTCGATTGAGGCATCTGGTGATCAGATGGTGCCTTTAGTTTAAATTGCTGCTACCAGAAGTATAGTTATTTTTTATGTACTGTACCAGCCATTATCAGAATTGAAGCTGATTTGCGTGTGCTAGAGGAAACACTTTTGGCTTTGGAACATTCTCCATTCTTAGCCCTTAATAATACAGTCCTGGTCCTGCTCATGATTTTGAAACCAAATGCATGACAGGGTGAGCTTTCTGTTTCTGTGAAAGAAACGGAGAATATAAAGTATGCCAATTGTATTGGCAATTGCCAAACATCTGTGTCTGAGGTATGGAACATTAGGGGTTCCCTGGCCATTCTGTTCTCTGTCCAATTTCCATACAAGGCTAAATAGTGAATATAGCATGATGAAACGACGATTCTATTTTGTTCTGACCTGTAAACGGAGTATGTATATGGTCTGAAAGTCTTCTAGACAAGATTGCTAGGCGGTAAAAAAGTCTTTTCTATTTCAAGTGGAGGACAACATGAATTCTAGACAAGCTGGAGTTGGTGGTTTTGCTTCAACCTGTCCTTCCTATTGTTTTTTTTAAGCATGTTAGCTTTACTAGTGTGTATAAATTCAAAATAGTGCATGCTTCATATGCAAGAAGTTTGCAAGTGGGCAGTTGAGGACATCGGTCAAGCAGCTGGAAATTGCATGGTTTTGTCGACACACATACATAGAGATGGTCTGTGTATAGCGACTCCCAGCTTCCTTCTTTTTCATTCACAGGCTTTGGAAAAACTTCTTTTTCGCTGTCTGATTTTCTGCGATATACCATGGCGGAAATTTACTCTTCAACTATTACATCTGTCCTGAGAAAAAAGAAAAGAGAGCAACCTACCTGCACAGCATTTCACACTGCCGCGCATTGAGACCAACGCTGCTACCTGCTATCCACTTTTGCCAAACACAGCAATTTGCTTTGCATCTGGTATTCTGGTTATCACACGCTGCTTCTGCCCAGACACGGATTTGCGCCTGCCTTGTCCATATCACCACCACTACACGCCACTGCCTGTTTAGATAAAAACATGGCCATTACTGATGAGCCACAGTCAAATGCTTGTCACCCTCCCAAATGGAAACCCCTCTTTTGTTCTTTGCCCTAATCTGTTTCACACACGGCTCCCGACACGAGTCCTGGCCCTACCAGCGCTGGTTCAGCTGTAGCGTCTGCGTACAAATCTACGGGCCCGCCCGATCTCCGGACCACCGCGGGACGGCGGCACGGCAACCGGAACACCGCCCGCGATCGAGTGGCGGGCGCGCGGCCAGCGGCCATGCCCCCCACTGGGCACTGGCCGTGTGATCCAAGCCAAGCGCTGTCCCTTCGCCCCTGAATAGTTCGCACTTGCGTTGTACCGCGCCCTGTTCGCGATTTAATTGTTAGCAGTACAGCCGCGCTTTTATTTCCTATGATTATTTCGTGGCTTGACCTCCCTCGCTCACATGGCCCGTGTCCCCTCCCCCTGGCCTGCTGCGTGCTGCCCTCGCCGTCGTCATCTCCTGCGCTCTGATTGGCCCCTCCCCTCTCGCGGCTTAAAGAACTCCCACCAGCTCTCCCTGCAGGCACCGCCAGTCTAGCGTCAGTTTCAGCAGAAGCTGCTGCTGGCTGTTTGTTTGTTTTCTCTTGAAGTTTGCGAACAAATCAGGATTTGAAAAAACGCTAAAGGCTCCATGTTCCAGGTGTGATGGGGGTTTCAGTAAGCTCCCTGTCTGCTGACGCATATACTATGTATTTTTTTTTGTTAATAGGCTCCTCCGTGAGACTATAAACAAACTGCATGAGAACGTGCTATCCGATCATGAGGCTGACAGCTCCTTTTCTTTAAGCAAAGGGTGATGGCGAGTCTTCGGCTGGTATTAAAGCCGGTTCATAAACCAACTGAAACTATTTTGTTGTGAAAGAAAAATATTATAGATTCTAGCTGATAAGTCGGTTGATAAATTCAAGCGAACGGGCCCTTAGGTAGCAGCAGCATTTGTTTAAGCTGCCATGCCACCCCTCTTCCTCCATAGTCCTACCTTCCTTGCTCGCTGGGCTGCCTGCTGCGTGCATTGCATTTTACATCTGCAGTTCTGCACTGCGATGCACCTCTCCTCTGAATGCCACTCCGGAGGCCACGAGGCTGGGGGTGGGGGAGTTGCCTGCCCGCTTGCCCTGATCAGCGACGGCCCTGACGCAGAGGAGTCGAGCCGAGCGCCGACCGACTCTTGAATTCTTTAAGAGCATCCCACTGCTCCTCTGCGTCGGCGTCGCTGATCCCATCGTTTCACCGGGCAGGCGCAGGTCCAAGTAATGGGAGCTTGCTTTCATCTGTAACAAGACAACCTGTCCGTCCTCTCCGCAGTGCATTGTACAGTACAACTTGAACATCAAGGTAGCAGTGATTTAAAAATTGAGCCCTTGTTTAGTTCCATGAATTTGGATTTTTTGGCGGCGCTGATTCTGCGTTCGTTTTAAACACGGCAAATAGTGCATCAAACTGCTCCTCTGCGTCGGCGTCGCTGATCCCATCGTTTCACCGGGCAGGCGCAGGGCAGGTCCAATTAGTGGGAGCTTGCTTTCATCTGTAACATTTAACTCCCTGTCCGTCCAAACATCCGCATGTGCATTGTACAGTACAACTTGAACATCAAGGTAGCAGTGCTTTAAAAATTGACCTGCATTTTAGACGGTGAGGAACCGACATGAGCACCTAGACTCAAAATTAGTATTAAGAGATCCAAAATTAGTCTTCAATAGAGTACATATACGGAAGATTTATTTTGAGTTGCCTGAAAGGCACAACCTAAATATAGGCATCCTCTCTCCTAGAAACTCATTTGCAGAAATGATTCTCTTTTCGGTCTCGTTATTGGAAAAGATACAGAATATGTATTAAATCTTTTACCTGTAGCGCTATAAAAAAACGAATAAATCTTATATTTTAGGTGTTATTGTTGGAGATGACCTTAGGGCTCCAAATCACTCGGCCTACCAAGATATCATACTTCATCCATCACCAGTTTAAAACCACGGAGCGTCGCCGTCGGAGCCCCTCTGCAGTGAACAAACTTTTATACCAGTGGGACGCGTGTACAAACTTTCTACACCGGGGGGGGGACGTCACGAAAATATCTGCACTGCACTGCACCTTCCAAAACGACCCTTCATGCGAAAGTTCACCCGTGTTTAGTTGCCAAAATATCCCAAAAAAGACTGTAGATATGAAGTTGCCCAAAAAATATGCACTATAATTTTTCATGGGGCGTTTAGTTCTCAAAATCTAGAAAATCACTGTACAACATTTATTTAACTGCATGCATGATATTGAATGCGAGTAAAGCATGCTTTTACATCCATCCAGGCATTGTCAACAAGGCAGGAGTCATTGCATGTGTCATGGCGCCTCCTCAACAGCACATCAATCAACCTAAACCAACAATTATTGGTAAACAAATGAAATGGCACAGGCTTCTGCCGGCACATAGTTACAGAGTCAAAAAATTACACTGTTTGTCGGACAAAAAATTACAATTACAGTCAAAAAAATTAACAGTTACACAGTCGCCTCAAAAAGACGACCAAATCATGTTCGATTAGCCAAACCGATTGCGATGGATTCCCGAAATACATTCCTAAGCTCGGAATCAGAACTACCGCTTAGAGGAATAGTTTCCGGTTGATCGGCACAGGCTTCTGCCGGCACATAGTTGTCATCCCAGTCACACCGAGCAAAGTGCCGATCCCCTATGCCACTCACCCTTATGAAGTTATGCAGGGCACAACATGCAACAATGATTTGACTTTGTATATGGGGGGCATAACTAGGGATTTCTTTTATCATCCACCACTTCATTTTCAACACTCCAAATGGTCTTTCTATGACATTCCTAAGTGACGAATGCGCATAATTAAAGATCTCAGTTTTACCTTGGGGTTCTGGTGCCTCTCGGTACTCCTGTAGGTGGTACTTTGTTCCCTTGTACGGTGCAAGATAACATGGTCGGTTAGCGTACCCCGAGTCCACAAGGTAATATTTGCCTATACCATCCAAACAGCAGTTAGTATCATGAACTTGTACTCGTATGCACAAAAGTAGAACCAACTAATTGTATATCTGTTGGTGGATGTGGAAACACGTTGGTGTATGTTGTTGTCGCATCAGCGAAGACCCTCATGTCATGTACTGAACCTGGCCAGCCAGCTAGGACGAATGTAAATCGCATGTCGAAGTCACACACGGCCAAGACATTCTGTGTTGTCATCCCCTTGCGGCACAAGTGCTGCACAAACTTATCACTAGGCACCACACAGGGGACATGAGTCCCATCTATCGCCCCTATACAGTCCTTGAAGTAGGGATAGAACCTAGGGTTTCTTAGCCTATCATGCATAGTGCTGAAATTTGGGTCATTAGGCCTAATGATGTCAGCAGCAAGCTTGACAACAGACTTCACCACCCTGTGAAACATGCTATTCACAATCCCCAGTGAC